TTGAATTGAATGAGTTTATTTTATGGTGTTTTAAAATGAAATAGAATTTATAGTAAGCACCTACTTATGCCTGAGTGAAGGTTTCTGAAGTTATAGGTATTATTTTAATTTATTTATTAATATATATATGATTATTTGTGTGTGTGACAAAATCAAAAATATTTATTCATGTAGGACATTTTAGCCCAGTGTTTTCCAACCACGCCCCACAGGTGAGATATTCGTCTGGGTGTTTTCCAAACGTGCGCCCCACACCCTAGGGATGGGATTTTCGTCTGGGTGTTTTCCAAACGTGGGCCCCACACCCTAGAGATAGGATTTTCGTCTGGGTGTTTTCCAAACGTGGGCCCCACACCCTAAAGATGGTATTTTAGTCTGGGTGTTTTCCAAACGTGCGCTCCGCACCCTAGAGGTGGGATTTTCGTCTGGGTGTTTTCCAAACGTATGCTCCACACCCTAGAGATAGTAATTTCGTCTGGGTGTTTTCTATATATAATATTTATTTATTCTTTTATTCAACATTCAAAATTCTTTATTTGTAAAACATGCGTGATTAAATAAGGAGATGATATACATATAGAAGGAATTTGTCCGACATGTTTAGCCTATATGGCATACAATACTTAAATGCTACAATAAAATATTAAATTTAAATGTTAAACAATAATAAAAAAAAGAATGATGTCACAATAATATAAAAACTACAACTTAAGTATATGTACAATAATATAAGACTAATATAACATTTCATCAAATTTATCATCGAAAAAATTCAATATTATTGCACTTAAAATTTGTACAATTTGGCGAGCTTAATGCCATATGGCATTCTCTACCACCTAACAATTAGGTAATACATTAGGTAAGAACAGAAATCGATTGAATATGTATGTATTTGCGAAAACAAAATCTATATTTGTGTGTGCTAACATTTGTAGTGTTTTCTATATACATATATTATGTATGTACTTACAAAAAAATCTAATTAATATATCAGTTGTCTAGTAACCATAACACAAGCTTTAGCTAGCTTAACTTGGGTCTAGATGGCGCCGCGTGAATTGTCCTGAGATTATTATTATTATATATTTTTCATGTAAGTATAATCTTTCTTTTCTCTTTCTTTATATAATATATTGGCTGTACCCGCGACTTCGTCCGTGTAGAATTTAATTAATTTTTTTTAAAATGAAGATTTTTTTCTAAAATAAAATTAGCCTGAGTTACTTTTTATTACATCGGCTACCTGCCAAAAAAATACCGTCAAAATCGGTCAGCCATTTCAGTGATTTGCCGGAACAAACAGACAGATAGACAAAAATTGTAAAAAAAAATATTTTGGTGTATGTATTCATATCCATGTAGAAAAACGGTTATTTCAATACTACAAACAGTATATATATATATGTATATACAATTTTATTTATAACTATAGATATAGTACAGTTAACGTTGTAACTTTACGTTTTTATTAAGGAATATTTTAAAATTAAAACATGCTCTAAAGTTTGATGGGGTCAACAGCATTTCGGGTTATCTAAAGTTAATGGCGCAGTATCGCGGAGTTTGATGAACGAAATTTCATAAGCGTTCTCCTCTTTTAAGGCTAAAGAAAACTTTCACAAAGCTTTTTTATGTAGACATTTGTTGAACTGTCAAATACAATATGAACTGTAGGCATTAGAATTACGAAGCAAATAAAACTATTTCAAACATTACTCTAGCAATTTTTTTTATGTTTCTTAATTTAAATAGTTTCACGTATTAATATCCTTCGACAATTGACACAACGCCATCTAGGCCCAAGGTAAGCAGATCTTGTGTTATGGGAAACTATACTACTGATATAAATAAATATATACTTTTTTTTTTGTAAATACATACATAATATACATTGAAAACACCTAGACCTATACAAATAATCATACTCATGAATAAATATTTGTACCGCGCATGAAATCGAACCGCGATCTCCGAACTAAGGCTGTAAAATTGGTATGATAGAGGCACACGACTTAACACAAAATCTACCTCGATAAATTCAGAAACAGTATAGATAACCCATGATCTATAATACCTAAAAAACAATACTATCACTATGTAATATTATATTATCTGTGCTATCACGAACCTCTTCCATTCTCAAGTCGGTCGAAAGTCTATAAAGCTTTTTTACTGCTAACTTTGTAACATAACTGGTCGTAAATATACGGAAATTGTCTGTACAAATACTCAGAGGAGACGTAACATAGAAGGCTAGTCGGCACTTTGTACGTAATACTTATAGAAGATGCGAGGATAAATATTCCAGCCAATTCGATTAGGTTAGCTCTTCACACAGAGGTCGCATATCGAGTCTCTTTTTGATAGGGTTACTAGCTGTTTGAAGAAATGGTAAAATCCTGCTCAATATTTTCTTCAAATCATCACTGGCAACACAACAAAATACATTTTGTTGTGTAGCCAGTGATGATTTACGGCACAGAGACGTGTCGCTAACTTTGGCCCTCATAAATAAGCTCAAAATCACTCAGAGGTCAATAGAGGACTTGCTTGGAGTTTCTCTGCTTTATTTTCGGACTGCTCTAATGCTGTTGACCGCAGCTGGCTTTTACAGTTTCACCGGACGATAGGGGGCGAGTGCAGATGACATTCCAAACCCACGGAAGGACTTATGGAACGGTTGAAGGCCAACTCTCGCCTGATGGATATAACTTTAGTCTGAAGGCATTGCTTGGGGTTCGAACCTAACCTCAGGCCGTCGTAATTTCGATCCCCATTTGAATTGGACGGGTGATCGATTGGAGAGGGGATTCTCTGCGTGATCATTTCAGAAATGAGGAAATTCATGGAAGAACCATAGTGACCGACAAAGCCCGATGAATTGCGAAATTGAAGTGGCAATGGGCAAGGCACATAGCTCGTAGTACAGATGGCCGTTGGAGCAGTACGACCGTCGAGTGGCGACCACAGACCGGAAGACGCAGCATGGACAGACCTCCGACAATTTTGACCGACGATCTAGGCAAGATCACTGGAAAGCATTGGCAGCGCAGAACCGATCGTCGTGGAGAATTTTGGGGGAGGCCTTTGTTCATCAGTGGATGTCTTCCGAGCTGAAATGATGATGATTTTATTTTGACGGCTTCTAGTCAAACCGTCTTTCATTGGGTTTGGTTACTACACTATACAAACATTTGTATTCATGAATATGATTTTCTACGAATATAATTTTTTATTATTTATACATCTGGCAACCCTATTTGCCTGCCAAATATTTATGTGTTACTTCTGAAATACGTGTCAAGTTTACTTGTATACCCAAGTTCCAAGTCTGTGCATACATTACTCTTCTTATCCATAACTTGAGACATACCCCGACTTCGTACGGCCTCAATTATTATAGCCATATCTAATAATTTTTTACACAATTTTGACAATTTACACAGCGCCATCTAGTGCCAAGCTAAGCCAGAGCTTGTGTTATGGCCAGCAGAGCTTGTGTTTTGGATACTAGACAAATTATATAAAAACATAGATGCACTTTTTTGTAAATACATATATATATATAGAAAATACTCAGACAAATATATACAAACATTTATACTCATGAATACACAGTAGAGTACATGTATGTGTACTGTGTAATAACGCAATAAAACATACATATAATACCGTTAGAAGACCTTTCAAAGAAATAACGAAAAGGTTAGTCGACATCACAGAAGACCGAAGAGCTGGCAGCTACCTTGGACAAAGAATTAGTCTAGCTATTCAAAGAGGGAACGCTGCCAGTATCTTCGGAACGTTGCCTAAAGGGACCCCTTTTAATAATATATTTTAGTCATCATATTATTTTTTTTTTAAGCTTTTTATTTTAGGTTCTTAGTTGTAGGTTATGTAAATACTAGTTATATAATAATATGTATATAAATATTAATGAAATTAATAAATACCGTTGTGATGTGACAAGGAACTTTTGAGATTAATTATGAACTCTGAATAACTGTCAAAGAGAATATTAACTTCCGGTTTATAGGAATGAGTATAAAAAATTACAATATGATATCAAAGGATATACAGGAACTACCATTAAATTAACATCTACAGACTCAATGTAAACGAAGGAATAGAAAAAAAGAAATTCATGTGAATTTCTTACCAGTTCTCAATTAAATCTAGGGAATACGAGAAAAAATAATTCAATTAAAAAAAGTCATTTCAGTTTCTTACCAGTTCTTCTCAATTGAATCTTAGAAAAAAATAATAAGACAAAAAATTTGAGGCTAAAATATCCTACTTGAGTAAATAATTTTTGATTTGAACATACATCGCTTACTCAATTCCATCTACCGTATTACTGTTACAATAATACTAGAAAACTACACAATGTATGTTACGAATACAGTAAGTATTCGTAACATACATTGTGAGAAATTGATCTCGTAAAGCGTCGTTTAAGAGATCGTATAAATGATTTCCACTTATATTTACGAGTTGTTCCACAAACATGAGTTAGATGTTAGAGAATGCTGACTACAATCGCTCTAAATCAATTTCGAACGCAAGTTTGTTTCCTGCAATTGTGGTTATATAAATATAGCAATAAAACATTTTATATCCGATGAAGGATATATTGGTCTGGTACACATATATTTAAAACATTGTATTAGACTAAATTTACTAGTTGGTATTCAAAATAGTTTGGTACAATTATAATAATTCATGACTTCTCCATCACCGGAGAGTCAGTCAAAAATAGAAAGAAGAAAGAAAGAAAGAAAAATATTTATTAAAAATATAAATCATTATAAAGTTTTTAGCCCAAATTAAACCCACAACCTTTCAACATATGTCCGAGGTTATAACTACTTTCCATAAGATTATTTGCAATGATATAATAAATATGTCTAAAAATTCGAGAATTATGAACAAATTGCATTTTAGTAGATTAGATAATCTGATTTTGAAGTTGGTTAAATATAATATATTTGTTACAGGACTACAATGACGATATACGACAAGAACAAATGCTGGAGATGCAGATACTGTCGTCACAGAACGAGCAGAGGAGGCTGACTCCTCCAGATTCCTCCAGGAGTGGTAGTGAGGAAGCACTGCCACTACGCGACACCGCACAAAAACATAGGGTAAGATACTGTTATCGTACATATGACTGAATATTATTGTGTTTTCAATATTTTGACTCTAACGAATTAGTGCTAGTTGGTAGTTTGTAGTCACTTATTTTTTAAATTTTTAGTTTCTATTCTATTTTGCTATATTGTGAAGTGTCGATAAATTATGTACTATATTACATACAATGGTTAATTTTCAATGGTATATACGGTTTTTTCATTATGATTAAAATATCAATAGAAATTTTCAAAAATCTGAGTATACTTAAATTTTTTTATAAAATCATTATCTTTACGATTTTTTCTGGAATAAAACCTGAAACTATTTAACAATTTTTTAAGAAATTAAAAAGCTTTTTATGTATATTTTGGACAAATATAAAAGATGGGATAGTTCTTATAGGCAATAATAATACGGCAACGCGCTGTCATTTGCCTTACCTTACCGACTTAATAACCTTACGTATTTGCAGCGTCGAATAAAATCAATAACATTTCTTACCTGCAAACACGTACCTACCTGCAAAACTTCTACCTTATTAACTTAACTTTAATGACAAATAAAGTTAGACTGAAAACTCTTTCTAGTCTTCAAGTTAGAACTAATTTAAGTTAGGTGTCCAACTAGATCTGTAGTTTTTCAGATTTAGTTTGCGCACACAGAGAGCACCGGACCAAATGCACTGTGCATTTTTTCTAACCTGAATTGCGTCTGTTTCACATTTTCCCCATTTTCGCAGCATTTTTCATTGCAACTCCGCTCGTATTGGTTAAACCGTGATGGTATATAACCTTCCTCGATAAATGGAAATAAAAATATAAGTAATCTTTATTCAAATAAACTCAATACAGGCACTTTTCAATAGTCATATTTTTTTATCCTGCCATTCATTCGGAAAGCAAATACATCACAAGAAGAATGAGCAAGAAACTTGTGTGTTGCTCTTTTAAATAGATATTATCTATATAACACAAAGATGACTGACATAGTAATCTATCAACGCATAGCCCAAACCACTGGACGGATCGGACTGAAATTTGGCATGCAGGTAGATGTTATGACGTAGGTATCCGCTAAGAAAGGATTTTGATTAATTCTACCCCCAAGGGGATAAAATAGGGGATGAAAGTTTGTATAAAACTTTGTCAATTTTAAACCGAACCGCTGCCTTTGATCGGGTTGACTTTGCATGCATAAAGGTACTATGACGTAGGCATCCCCTAAGAAAAGATTTTGATAAATACCACCCCTAAGAGGATAATTAACGCGAGCCACGGGTAAAAGCTAGTTTTAAATAAAACTGTTCACAAGCTACTATCAGATGAGCATGAATGTTTCCCTCTACACTAAAAGAAACCTTTCTGACAGCAGTTAACCGGAGTCCAGCCGTCGCCAGCCCAAGCCGCACTTCCTGGTGGCATCCCAATAAACCATGGTGCCAACGCGAGGGATTTTTCTCCCCCGGCACCGACTCCGGCACCTGATCATCTAACTGCAGCCCATCATCAGGTAATATAGTTTTTTTTTTATGTAAATGTATGTCATTTTGTGGAGAGTGGCAGCCATTGTCTATAATCATTAAGTCTGCCATATGCATTTATATTTGTGTATTTGTGCATTAAAGATTTAATAAATAAATAACCCTGAACAATTAACACACGCCATTTAGTCCCACGGTAAGCAGAGCTTGTATTATAGGTACTAGACAAGTGATATAAATACATAGATATTATTTTGGTAAATATATACGTAATATACATAGAAAACACTCGGACCGATACAAACAATTATATATTATATATCATAAATACGAGTGTTTGTGCCGTGCGAGGAATCGAACCTGCAACCATCAGAATGAAGGCGGTGTGCTAAACCGCTAGATCACCAAGACCGTCAAATTATAATATTACTATTTTTTTTCTCCTGAATGTACTATAAACAATGTAATACAAAAAACATAGACCAAAAAAAAAGGATCATATTAATGAATACAATTGTCTGTTGCTCTTTTACAAAAATATTGTAACTTTTCATTTTTAAGTTTAAATATACTCAAAGCTTAACTAACTTACTCTATGATGTCACTGTCACATCTTACCAACTCGAGCAGAATTTTTTTTTATATTTCACACAACGCCATCCAGACCCAGGTTAAGCTAGCATAGCTACATATTTTTTTTTACATACATACATATTATACATAGAAAACACTCAGACCGATACAAACAATCATACTCATGAATACAAATGTTTATGCCGTGCGAGGAATCGAACCCGCGACTATCGGTCGTAAAGCGGCGTGCTAGACCGCTAGACCACCGAGGTCGTCAATTAAATGAGAGGTACCAACCTCGCGTCATGATTGCCTGTTTGCGTACAGTTGGCAGCAGGGCACACCGGAGCCCACCATGGTGTGCTGGTCGGCGGTGGAGTCTTACAGCAGCCTCCCACTCACCATATACTCACACAGAATTCCATACTAGGTATGTATTATACATGTATATATATACTAGCTGTCACGGCAAACGTTGTTTTGCCATAAAATAAAAAAAAAAATTTAGGGGTTCACTACCCTTAACATTTAGGGGGATGAAAAATAGATGTTGGCCGATTCTCAGACCTACTCAATACGCTCACAAAATTTCATGAGAATCAGTCAAGCCATTTATAGAAACGAAAACTGTGACACGAGAATTTTATATATAAGATTTTTTATTGACAAATATTGTGCACCTGCCTTCGTTAATGGTAAACATGGGATATATGAAGGATCAGCTGTGCCTGTGTTTCACCCGCGCAAAATTTCAATAAAAAATGTAGCCTATGTGTTATTCTGATGCATAAGCTATATTACTGTAAAGTTTCATTGAAATCCGTCCAGTAGTTTTTGCGTGAAATCTTAACAATCCCTCAATTAGGTTTCCGTAGCAAATTTACGCACGAGAATAGAATAAAATAGAATATAACAGAAAATCATTTAATCAAATGAACAATTTTTTATAACAAATATTGTTATTCAAAAGTGCTTAAATTAAGCACTTTTGAATAGTCATAACAAATTTTTCCAAGAAAAGCGAGCAAGAAACTTGTGTGTTGCTCTTTTAAATAATCCTTATAAGTTTACATTTTACAACTCGAAACGTGTAAAAACAAACTACCAACCAGCTCTAATTTAGAATTGTTTAAAAAATACTCAGACTCAGCTAGTTTTAGTAAGTGATGTCGTTTTTGTTTGACAATATTTAATATTGTTAAGACCTATAAGCTGAATTTAACTCATATACATATTTCTTATTTTACAATATATAAAAATACTAGCTTTTGCCCGTGGCTTTGCTCGCGTTAATTTATCCCCTTAGGGGTGAAATTTATCAAAATCCTTTCTTAGAGGATGCCTACGTCATAGTAGCTTTATGCATGCAAGGTCTCAGCCCGATCTGTTTAAAATTGACAAAGTTTCATACAAACTTTCATCCCCTATTTTATCCCCTTGGGGGTAGAATTAATCAAAATCCTTTCTTAACGGATGCCTACGTCATAACATCTACCTGCATGCCAAATTTCAGTCAGATCCGTTCATTGGTTTGGGCTGTACGTTGATAGATCACTATGTCAGTCACCTTTGAGTTATATATATATTTAGACTTATCTGTCCTTTTTTTTCTTTATCAAGTTTAGAAATTTTTCAATTAACAATTTTGACCTATTCTGGTTTATATAATAGGTTTTTTCCTACCGTTCTTTATACATTGTCTTCATACCTTATCTATATGTATATGTCGCCCACATATGTTTTGAACGCAGAATTGGATCTGGTAGGTGCCACTGTTTTTCCGGTCTGAACGATATCTATGGGTACCGATTATAGTTTTAGAAATTATATTTTATAATACGTAACGAAAATCTTATAATTTATCTTACTAACATTATAAACGCGAAAGGTTTGAGAGTATGAATGGATAGATGGGTGGATGGATGGATGTTTCTGATAGATGTTTGTTACTCTTTCACGCAAAACTACAAAACGAATTTTGATGAAACTTTACAATAACAGAGCTTGTACATCAGAACATAAGTTTTAAATTTCATACGAATGGCATCAGGTCCATCCCGGCACACAGCTAGTTTATTATATTTTTAACATAATTTATATTTAATGCTTTGAATTAAACTTAATAACATTACTAAACCTAGCACTACTAACTCTAATCTTACTAACCAGGTGGAGGGGATATATTGGGACTTAGCAGCCCCGTGCTTGGGGGTGTGTTGCACGCCCACCCCGCACTGCGAGGGGTGAAACCGGCCGCTGTGCACGCGCTAGCGACGCAAGGTCGGTACGTCACATTCTATATAGACCCAGAATTAAGCATGGAAATTAATTACTAACTTACGCTTTTTAACACAACTTTAATGCTTATTCAATAGGCTGTGAATGCTGTTTTTCGTTTCCCAAAAATAAGATTGTTTTTGATATCAAGAAATTTATTGATAGTTCGCTATTTTTCTCTTTTACTTTTAAATATATTTATAAAATTAATTAAGTTAAATCTGTTTAAAATCATAATAATGTATATTTACTTACGTAGCAAATATTATAAACATTAAGATAAATAGGTGTTACTGGAGCGGGAACACAACTACTATTTTAATAAAAACCAAATACTAGTAAAAATGTGTATTCTTCCCAAAAGGGCTCACAGCGAGAAGTAACAAAACAATATATAATTAGTCAAAAGTGAGGTATAATGTAAATATCACGGAGAGTCTTCTGAGGAATTGTTCGGATTAATACCAGCTGCTGAGTTTCACCACCGTACCACCCGCCAGAAACTGAAATACCATCCTGATCATCTGGATGAATGGCGGTCTTCCACAGTGCGGTTTTCTAGAAACTTTTTGCCTCGTACAACCACATTGTGGAATCACCTTCCAGCAATGGTATTTCCGAACCGATACGATATTGAAACCTTCAAGAAAAGAGCTTATTCCTTTTTAAAAGGCCGACAACGTACTTGCAATGCCCATGGTGTTGCGGGTGCTCATGGGCGGCGGTAATCACTTACCATCAGGTGAGCCGCATGCTCGTTTGTCCCGTGTTAGAAAAAAAATAATAATAAAAAATAGATAGAAAAAATAAAAAGTTTATAAAAAGAATGGTAGACAAGCTGCCAGTAACACATTAAGATAAATAGGTTTTAAAATAATAATTACATAAGTTATATTGTACAAACAAAATAATGATAGTAACACAACAATTCACAGAACGACATCTAATCCTAAGTTAAGTAGAAGTTTTGTTAGGGTACTAGCCAATTGATATAATTAATAAAGTTTTGCTAAACTGGTATATCACAGAAGCTGTCAAAAACAAAGCAATTTCTTTATATTACAAAACCGATCGAAACTAAAAAATACTACTAAATCGTGTCGTAAACATATTTTTTAACAAAGCTCTATACATTAAAACCAATCAAGCGTGAAGCACCAAAAATTCGGATACGTTCACACAGTATGCCTACATCCTAGTAAAAATATAGCTGTACACTCCAAAAAAGTAAACATTCAACCAGAAACCTGTATTGATACTCCGTTACTCGACAATCAGGTAATATTGGAAAGCAATCAAAAAAATTCATTATGAAATATCCGAACGAAAAGACATCTATTGTGAAATAATTGAACCGTCCGCAGCCGCGACGCCTTAATTGAAAACCTTTCAGGCGATTGTTGTGGATTTCAAGCGACAGAAACACTGCCCTCACAAACTTGTATAAAGAATGCTTAATGATGGTACAAGCGATAAGCGGCAGCGGTAATAATGGTACAAGCTATAAGCGGCAGCGTTAATAAAAACAGCTAATTAGCACACCGCCTTATTAGGGATGAAAGTGATGCTTTCTCTTCATTCCTCACATAATACAAACATTTTTATTCATGATTATATAATTGTTTGTATTGCTTTGTATTACTTTGTACAAAAATATGTGTGTATTTATAAAATGTGTTTAAGTGTTTCTATCAGTTATATAATAGTCATGACACAGGCTCTGTTTAGTTTGGGAATAGATGCTGTGTGAACTGTTTCTTATCTTATCTTATTATTATAATCATTACATAGTATAAAACAAAGTCGCTGTCGCAGTCTGTCTGTCTGTCCTTATGTATGCTTTAAATTTTTAAAAATTCGCAACGGATTTTGATGCGGTTTTTTTTTAAATAAATAGAGTGATTCAAGAGGTAGGTTTATATATATAATACATGTACACTCGTATGTAGCCGAGATGAGTAGCTAGCGACATATATTCTATTTGTGCTTTTGAAAAACATACACACACAGTCATAGTGAAGAAACGTATTTAGATACTTATATTTAGAAATTTATTTATTAGAATAAATTTTGATTTTTTCATACAATTTTCACTAAATGGAACATTGAACTAGTCGTTTAAATGGCTGTTTGCTAAAATATAATACAATTTCTACGCCACAACAGCCTCAAAAATATTATACGAATTATAAAGTACAAAAATAAAATAATAACAGTACAATTTCAAAAAATTTTATAATATTTATTAGACTTAAATGTATTAAATATGTTTGTAAAAATGGTAATGTAAGATCAAGAAAATTCATATAAATAAAAACGAAAATAATAACACATAGAAATACAATATAGCAAAAGAGAAGTTTCAAATAGATTATCAAAAAATAAATGTATATTCATCTATTACCAGTCCGCTATACGCTTATGCATTAATAAACGAGAACTCTTTGACGGAAGATGTGTCTAGACGCCATTTTGTATTTCAACATTCCATAAAAATGAAATGTCGGTACTAGATTGTTTCCTTTGAACATGATCCCTGTGACGAGGATTTTCTATTAAAAATTCATTTTTCTGTACACTGCGAATATTTCAAGCATAAAAACGAGTTATATAAATGTAATTCTAATTGATCTATATATTAATATGTGAAGTTAAAACTTTGAACCCTTTTCATTGTTCGACTCTCCAATTTTATTTATATGTATATATATACTAGCTGTCCCGGCAAACGTTGTATTGCCTTAAAATAAAAAAAAAAATTAAGGGTAGTCTACCCCTAACATTTAGGGTGATGAAAAATAGATGTTGGCCGATTCTCAGACCTACGCAATATGCTCACAAAATTTCATGGGAATCGGTCAAGCCGTTTCGGAGGAGTATGGAACGAAAACTGTGAAACGAGAATTTTATATATAAGATAGATTACGTGTCACGTTGTTTGTCCGCGTTGGACTTCTAAATTACTGAACAAATATAAATCTAATATAAAATTTCAATATTACATTTATTTAAACAATCATATTGCCAAACGCACGCCTATGCACGACAAAAATCTGCAAATTCTGTCAAACTGAAGAGGAAAGGCCACTACACATCCTATGTGGTTGTAGCCCACTCATGCATAAACGAAATATCTCCTTTGGAATGTTTACACTCTTTCCCGAGGAGATAAAAACCATCGCTCCTAAGAATATCCTTCAATTCTTGTCCCTGACGGGTCCAGGTAGCGAACTTTAAAAAGGGCGAGCAATAGATCTATGTAGGTCGCAGTGCTACAGGTGCTACAAACATCTGACAATAGCCCAAACATCCCAATAAAAAAATTAAGTAAATTATTAAAAAGAAAGAAAACATAATTCTGAATAATGTCAAATAATTAAGTCCTATAATTTAAATTAATTATTGTCGAATTTCGACTACTATGCGACTATTTACTATTATGTATTTATTAATTTTATGCCCTCAAAATTCTTCAATATTATAAGATAGTCGGTTGGAAATATCGGTCACACTGACCAAGTATTTCTAATAGCTATAGTTAACCGTTTCTTGTATCTTCCTTTATTATTATTATTAGTATTAGGCCGACACCTTGTTGTACATTTAAATTACATATATTAAATATTGTTTGTAGCTCGTTAATATTGTTTACCTTTAATATTGTTTGTCTATAGTCTTACTGAATGTTAAATTAATTATAGTCGAATTTCCACCACTGGGTCACCATTAGTATCTATAAGATACTGTTTCTTGTATCTTCCTTTATTATTATTACTTCCCACGTGATACAGCCAAGCTGGTGATTAGTATCGAGGATGGGCCATGATACCAAGTTTCTTCCATTATCTATTATTATTACGCCATTAGGGTCTGTTTCCCAATCGTCCTATAAACTGAATGTTCTATATGCTCTACATACAACATTCAGTTTATATGATTCAGCATGTAAATTTGTTCTGTTTATTGTTAAAATTTGTGGTCAAATTGAAAATAGTTTAGTGTTGTTTGTCTATAGTCTTATAGAATATTAAATTAATTATAGTCGAATTTTGACCAATGAGCTACTACCACTATCTATAATTTACTGTTTCTTATATCTTCCCTTAATATAATTGTTACCATAAGGGCCAGGATCACCTTGTTTCAATGAATGATTAATATAAAAATGAATGTTGTTTGTACAACGCTCAACAGGGTTATATGTATTGTTAATATCTATGGTCAAATTGACAACGTTGTTTGTCTATAGTCTTACTGAATGTTAAATTAATTATAGTTGAATTTTGACCACTGAACGACCACTTGTATCTACATATTGTTTCCTGTGTCTTCCTTTATTATTACTACTATTGCCATTAGAGCCTCCGTCACCTTGTTTTCCATTCGTCACATAACATGAATGTTGTTTTTAAGGCGCCCAACATTATAGACTATATTTATTGTTAAAATATGTGGTCAAATTGATAATATTGTTTATAGTTTTCCTGAATGTTAAATTTATTATAGTCTGATTTCGAACACTGGGCGACCACTAGTATCTGTTATTTCCTGTGTCTTCCTTTATTGTTACTATTGAGGCCTCCGTCACCTTCTTTCCCAATCGCCACATAACATGAATGTTGTTTGTAGAGCGCTTGTTGAGCTATATTTACTGTTAAAGTCTAGGTCAAATTGACAACATTGTTTGTCTATAGACTTACTGAATGTTAAATTAATTATAGTCGACTTTCGACCACTGGGCGACCATTACTATCTATAGATTGTTTCCTTTATCTTACTTTATTATGTTTGTATGTAGAATGTTATGTGTAGAGCGTTCAATAAAACGCATGTAGATTTGTTGTACGTCAGGAGCGGGTGGGTCGGCGGCTGCGAGCACGGCCCGCAAGCGGCTGGCGCGTGGACTGCGCTCGCCTATATTTATTGTAAAAGTCTGTGGTCAAATTGACAACATTGTTTGTCTATAGTCTAAATGTTAAATTAATTATAGTCGAATTTCGACCACTAGGTGACCACTAGTATTTATAATTGACTGTTTCCTGTATCTTTATTTTATAATTTATTGTTAAAGTATGTGGTCAAATTGATAATATTGTTTGTCTATAGTTTTGCTTAATGTTAAATTAATTATAGTCGACTTTCGACCACTGGGCGACTATTTGTTTCTATAGATTATTTCCTTTATCTTACTTTATTATGTTTGTATATAGAATGTTATGTGTAGAGCGTTCAACAAAACGCATGTAGATTTGTTGTGCGTCAGGTGCGGGTGGGGCGGCGGCTGCGAGCACGGCCCGCAAGCGGCCGCTGCTGGGCGGCGCGCGGGCCGCCATGTCGCCGACTAAGAGAGCCGTGATGACGCTGCTGGCGAGGGCCCGCGCAGCCACCCACAAGCACGCGCCCACCTGGCCTGCACCCCACGAGTAAGTCTTACCATCATAAACTCTTTTCCCAAATACGGAGTTTTTTAAGGATAAGTTATAGACAACCTTGGTGATCTGACGAACTTAGTGATCTATCGGTTTAGTACACCGATAGCCGCAGGTTATGTTGCTGTCGTGAGCATGCGTCTACCTGGCCCGTGCACCACGAGTAAGTCATATCATCATATCTTCATGACTCTTATAAGAGATGGGATAGACAGGGATTTTGTTTAAAGGATTATATTTTATTTGACGGTCTCGATGATCTAGTGGTTATCACACCAATAGTGTCTCAGATTACACATGGTTCGGCCCGCCATTCACAAGCACGCGCCCACCTGGCCTGCACCCCACGATTAAGTCATATCATCATATAATCATGACTATTATACTAGATGGGGTAGACAGAGATTTTATTTTAAGGATCACTCCTATTTATTTGACCGGTAGTCGCAGGTTACGCTTCTGGCACGGGCATGCCCACCTGGCTTGCACCCCACGAGTAATTTATATTATCAGGACTCTTATCCCTAATGAAGTATACGGAGTTTTTTTAAGGATAAGTTAGAGACGGCCTTGGTGATCTAGCTGTTTAGCACACTGGTCGCAAGTATGACTATGATCATGACTCTTATAACAGAAGTGATAGACAGAGTTTTTTTAAAAGGATGAGAATTTATTGCCTAGCATCAATTATTAAATATACGCACACTTATGTTTCCAGGTTTCATTCCTCGGACGATGCAAACTTTTGTATTCAAGAATATGATTGTTTGTATTGGTGTGGGTGTTTTTTTTTTTATGGATGATAATGGAATGGTGCACCCACCTACGCTAACGGTTTACGCTGGCGGGGCACCAGTGGAGGATGATAAGATGAGCATGAAGTCAGGTCAGTTAGCCCATCGTGACAAATTCACCAAGAATTTATCACGATGGTTTCCAGGGGGAACCACGTGGAGGTCAACCTGACATGGTACATTGCTAGCAATAAGATGATCAGTGGTGTTATCTATGTATGTATTGGAAATGCATCTACTTATTTATATCACTTGTCTAGTACCCGTAATAAAAGGTCTGCTTAACTTGGGACTGGATAATGCTGTGTGAATTGTCCACGGATATTATTATTTATTTATTTATATCACACTAAGCTGTACAGTTTCCCAATATTCCCACTTTTAAGAAAATGAAATTAACGACGTTATGGTGCTATTACCATATTAATAATCTACTAGCTATTTACCTTTCAAGTTACATAAAAACACAAGAGATTCGTAACATTCCAAATGAATGGTTGCCCTACTCGAACTAGAAATGCCACCTACATAATTTGACACCCATGAGTGCTTAACTAAATTAGCAACTTCATTAATATGGGAAGGGTGTACACAATTTCTGAAGTTCTGTAGACAGAATATTCTTGCGTATCTCCACGAAATATATTGATGTCGCCCCCTCTGTCAGCCCCCTCTGGGGGTGGTATTGTGTATAGGGAATAGTCACATTATTCTCAATAATGTACCATCATAAACACTTCACGCAGTCCCTCTGCAAGTCATCGTAAGTTTTTCCTGATTAGTCCCCCTCGCTGGGATAACAGATCTGACTTCGTGCTCATCTTTTGACGGTCTCAGTAGTATCGCCACCTTACTGCAAGTAAGGCGATGTGCTAGTGCTTACTGATAATAATAATAATAATATCTCGACCTGGCTCACGAGGTGACCGAAATGTGGGGGGTGGTGTCCACCGAAATCATTCCAATCGTTATATCGGTGAACGGTCTTATCCCAACCAGTCTGGAGCAACATCTCAGACGGTTGGGATTCCGAGGCGGCTCACTCCCGAGAAAGATGTAGAAAAAGGTGCTCTTAGATTCTCATTGTACGCCGGTTTCTATCCCTGGGGCTTCGAACCCCGGCCGACTGTGCTTCTGCCGGGGGTAAGTTGCCATCTCCTCTCCTTAACAGGGGAGATGAGATTTTTTTTAAGTTTAGAAATAATAATAATAATAATAACACATACCGAAAATATTGCTAAATATACTGATTTGGCAATAGAACTAAAAATACAATGGCAGGTAGAAACAGTGAAAACTCTCCCAATTATTATCTCGTCCACAGGTGTCATCCCAGCATCCCTACACACCAGCCTCAAGATATTACAACTTCACCCACTTACTTTCATCCTTCTCCAAAAAGCTGTAATATTAAACACTTGTAGAATAGTCCGCAAATTTTTGTCTTCCACTTAAAAATTATCCATCCTCATCATTCATCATTTATACTATCATTGTTTGGTGATTTTTACCCATAATGATCAGTCTATACCCCATCAAAGGGAGGTATATAATATATATATAAAGAAATAATAATAATAATAATTTATTCACCATCATAGTACAGAGTAAATAAGAAAACTTAAAAACTAATAATTCGCTGCTGAAAATGCTTCCACTCAGCTGGTGCCGCAGCGTTCACTACAGCGCTGACTTTCAGTGGAGCCACTTGAAAAAAATAAATAGCATTCGTGATGATACTCACTTCCGATGGTCACGGTAACATTACGTCATAATTCACTAAAAAAAACGCCTAATTATATCATAGTACAATTACCGACGACGTATTAAAAGGTGGTTCCAATTAAAGGGCGAGAAACAATAGAATCTAATATCAGTGGATTAGAATTAGTTTCCAATGTAGTCGCAGAAATCTTTGTTATAAGAAAATTGTCTGTACTTGTACCTCAGTCTCACCAATTTTGTACTCTAAGCAGCTTGCCTTTTAAGCTCTATTTCAATTGATGTATAAGATTTGGCAGTGAAATTACTGATGCTAAGGCATGACATCTATTTTTTCTGATAGCAATTGTAGTATTATTGTCTTAAATGAATGGAAGTACCAAATGCATTTATAGGATATTGGAATCTAAATGTTACTACCATTAGTTTGATTTTGCAGTAATATATTTATGGTTTAAACGCCTTTAAACAATTTTAATGTCAAACCATTACCACAAACAAGTGATTGCCAATTTCTAAGTTGGTATAGCACCCTAGTTTTTCTTAAAATAGTGTTCAATTTTCAGCATATTTATTATCCTGTATAGGACAGAAAACCTTTTCCCTAAACATAATTTATCTGTTGAATTCTTTGTAAAAGTTTAACGAGAAAAACTGTAATTTTTCTAAAACAATATCGACACGTTTCCATTTGTTGTGGTTACTTGTGGACAGCTTTCACGGATGTACAGTTAACTAGAAGAAGCTTTTTATGTAACTCGAATGGCAAACAAGATGGTGGTCCACCTGGGTAAGTGGTAACATAGTGGTAAGTGGTAAGCACTACGGACTTCACGTTATCATGTGAAGCCTGTGATACCACTAATATTATAATCTCAAGACGATTCACACAGCGCCATCTAAACCCAAACTAAGCCAGCTAAAGCTTGTGTTATGTGTACTAGATAACTGATACAAATACATAGATGTATATATTTTTTTTTTTCGTATATATCTGTGTTTACACGGGTATTTTCTGTGTTGTATACACTATTATACTAAATATAAATATATTATACATAGAAAATACCCAGACCGATACAAACAATCATACTCATGAATACAAATGTTTGTGCCGTGCGAGAAATCGAACCCGCGACCATCGGAAGTAAGGTGTGTGGTGTGTGCTGAACAGCTAGACCACCGAAGCCGTCATTCCACTTCGGTTGCCATTTCGGAAGATTAAGATGTATCCTGGAATTTCACTACCTTATCTTACTCTTCAACCGAAATAGCTTTCAAATCAAGTTGATTGGCGACTGGATAAGTGAGACATAGGTACCACCCAAACAACATCAAACAAAGTCAATCTTGGTAGAATGTTAGATGAATTTTCCGTGGTTTCCATCATCCTTTGCCATTCAAGGAGAAATAAGTATAAACAATGATATTGCGAAAAGCTTTACCTTGACTACTAGCTTAATAGGGGAAAAAAAAGAAGTTATAAAAAATATATTCCTAGTTTGTAATTTGTATTCACACATTTCAACATAAAAATGTAAATTTACAACAATTACTTAATAGAGCAACACGCTCGGTCTTCTTGTGATAGTCTTAAGAATTTGAAACGGCTTTTTGAATTAAAAGAAATACGTATTAAAAGTGCTTAAAAAGTTTATTTGAGTATTTAATTTTTTGTTATACTTTTCTATTCTATTCTATTCTGCACTGTTCTGTTCTATTCTATTCTAAGAATATATCATTAATATTGTGGTATCTATCCAAATATACATCTGTGAACTCCGTAGCCACAACTAATGGAACATTGTCAGCGTTGCACAAATGAACTCGTTATATACCTTACAACGTGCCAGTGTAACAGAAAATAGAAAATAATGTTAGCAGAAAAGAATCTCTAAATAAGAATAAAGACCATAATAGACAAGTTATAAAATAACTAGCTGACCTAGGGATGTTCGTTTGCGTCAAATTGCCCTGTTTTTGCAATTTTATTTATTCCAGAAACCATTTATAGTATGGGTTCCAGGGAGTCTTTACAATAGTGCTTTGAGGAATCAAATATCCTCACCGTTGCTTCTCAATACATTTATGTAAATATCATGTATGCTAGAAAGAATATAGACAATTTTAAAAGAGTTAGTGATGACTCTAATAGAAGCTTACGTAACAATAACAAACTGATTTTACCTAAATGTCGTTTAACTAAAGTTAGTAATTCGTTTTATGGCAATTGCGTAAGGTATTACAATAAAATACCAGAGTCTGTTATAAATCTCCCTGAAAAAAGATTTAAATGGCATATAAAACACTTCCTTTGCAAACAAGCTTACTATAAAATTGAAGAAATCGTTAACAATAATAATGTTTTTATAAAAAAACTTAAAATCCATGGCACTGACAATATTATCTGATTACACTAATAATGAGTACGTAGCGATTTCTATGTTGATTATAGCATGCCTCTTACTTGTTATCCTGGAATTATTATATAAAAAAATATCTATTCAAAAGAGCAACACACAAGTTTCTTGCTTATTCTTCTTGTGATGAATCTGCATTCCGAATGAGTGGTAGAATCAAAATATAACTATTCAAAAGTGCTTGTAATGAGTTTATTTGAATAAAGATTATTTCTATTTTTCTATTTCTATTTCCAGCGCCGCTCCTATTGGTTATAGCGTGATGTTAATTACTTCCTCGATAAATGGGCTGTCGAAGACTAAAAGAATTTTCAAATTCTGATTACAGGAGCACATGTACATTCAAACTCATAAACTCTAGCTCTTTATAATATCATATATATATATATATATATATATATATATATATATATATATATATATATATATACTAGCTGGCCCGCGAGGAATAATGACCTTGACAAATATATATATATTTAGTACCCTTAACCAAAAAAAGCCAAAGAGAAAAATTTCACCGTTCAAGCTTCAATAATGAATATCCACACAAACTTTCATCCCCTATTTTATTTTACCACCTTAAAGGTAAAATTTTTATGAACTTTGAATGACATTTTTATTTATATTTAATCAACAGCCTAAAATCAAGCTTTATAAAAATGACGATACTTCCATACAACCTTTCATCTCCCTTTTCAACCCCTTACAACCCTTTTTCGCAGTAAGAAAGAGCCTATGTCCTTTCTCAGGGTCTAAACCATCTGTGTACTAAATTTATACTGAACCTGTTTAATATACATTATTTATATTATTAACCGGGTCTTAAGACGAACTAATTTTATGGCAAATAAAGGTACTAGGTAGGCACTAGCCGTGGTCACGATCTGACTGGAGCAACAGCGATGTCAATTTTGTAGATAGGTGACAGCAGTTTTTTCATCTACCGTCACTAGATTGTTCAACGAAAGTTCGCGACACAGCACTCACGGTATCCGCACACTTATTGACTATTGATGCTACTGAACATTGCTTGAATTTATTTATGACAATCTAGTCCGAGACTCGAATCATTTGTACTGAACCTGATTTAAATTTCTATTTAAATCAGATTCAGTAGTTTTGTCGTCAAAGAGAGACAGACAGACAGAGTTACTTTCACATTTATAATATTAGGATATATCAACTCTAGTCATGTCGTTGTATCACCATGTCATCTTAAAATTTTACCGAGATAAACTTTATCGCGTGGGGTGCCTTTGTCTCACTTTCAGTCACAGCAGCTTAATTTATAGCTGTGTGAACTTTGAAGTATGAAGTGATAAGGCGCTGTAATTATATAGTATGAGAGGCATGATGCCTTGCTCCAGAAATAGACTATCCAACACAAAAAAATGTTTCAATTCGAACCAGTAGTTCCTAAGATTAGCTCGTTCAAACAAACAAACTCTTCAGCTTTATAATGTTAGTATAAATTTGTTAATATATATATATTGTTTCAGGCATACAGCGCTGCTCCCACTCATCCGGGATGAGTTCGTGACAGGTGTGGGTGTTAATATCAACTTAGCATAATCTATATTATACTCGCTCTAGTCGAATTGTCATATACAGGGTGTGAACGTACTGGAGTGTTGTTGTGACAAATATAACACACTGTAGAACACGCAAATCCACCATTACTATGTCACTACGTATAAATTATATTAATAAAATGATATTTTTACATTATTTTATTGAATGGATTGCAACTGATCACTCACCTGATGGTATGTATCAATTACCATCTGATGGACTTGTAGGTGTATACAGACCTCTCCTCCGATCGATCCCCAGTCCAATTCAAACGGGAATCGAAATTACGACGGCCTGAGCTGATGTTCATACCCCCAGCGGTGTCCTCAGGTTAAAGTCGTATCTGTCAGGCGGGAGTTGGCCTTCAGCCGCTCCATATGTTCTTCCGTTGGTTTGGAATGTCACCTGCACTCACAGCCTCCATCAGGTTGGTGATCACAAAGTTCGTATGAAACATGAAATCTAAACTGACTAGAGATTATCAATAAATTACGTTACACGTTATGAATTTCATATTCTTATTAGCTTATATTTCAATGTTTCTTACACGAACTTTGTGACACCTTTTGGTTCAACAAATTCAATGAAAAGATTTCTAGACGCCCCTCTACTTTCTTTCAATTTTCAATCTACTTCATATTATAGTCAGTATTTAAACAACTCCGTACGGACATCCTGTATAACATAAATAATCTAGTCGATTGAGTTAAGCTGGAATTATTTAGAATAATAATTAATAAATGTTAATTTATATTTTGTACCTGTTTTAGTATTATTCATTATTTATTTGTATTACAAAATAGTCGGAAACATGTGTATAATTTAAAATTACATATAAATTTATTTTACAATAAAAAATTCAAGTCAATAGATGGCGCTTTATTCTGTTTGGTAGCTCAAATATTATAGTCAGAATTAAAGTTGCTTATAGAGATCTGCGATCAAGATGTTTACCATTTTATTAAAGAATTTATTATTAATTATTACAATACTATGTTAACTTAAACAACTCTATAAGTTTATTATATTGTAGTTATTTAAAATAATTTATTATAAAATAAACACCTTTGTTTATTACTTTCAGTTAAAATTCCAAATAATCAACTCATCATCATCATCATCATTCATTGACACAAAATGAGTATAATAATAATAACCCTGGACAATTCAAACAGCGCCATCTAGTCGCAAACTAAGAGCTTGTGTTATGAGTACTAGACAACAGATATAAAAGCTTAAATGAAATATTTGTTATTTGTAAGTACATAATATATATAGTAAAGTCTGAGACCGATATCAGTCATATATACAAATACTTAGATATATATTTTTTGTAGTTCATACGTAATATACATAGAAAACACTTAGACCGACACAAACAATCATACTCATGAATACAAATATTTATGCCGTGCGAGGAATACAACCCGCGACCTTTGGAAGTAAGGCAGTGTGTTCAACCGCTAGACCACCGAGGCCGTCAAACTATAGACTAACATACATATATCTATAGTTTGACGTCTTAGTCTGGGTGTTTTCTATATATAATATGTTTATATTTACGAAAAAAACATATCTAAGTATTTCTATCAGTTGTCTAGTACCCATAACACAAGCTTTAGCTAGCTTAACTTGGGACTAGATGGCGCTGTGTGAATTGTCCTGAGATTATTATTATTATAACTATAATAATGTATACAAAAACAATATCGAGCATCATTATTTTCAAAGTTCGCTAGACAAACTGCTCTTTCCGTATCAATTACCCCCATCAAGGTATATTACACTCGTCTACAAACTAACACAAAAGAAATAAATCATTTACCAAACTAGTCAGTCCCCAGTGTGTGATTTCCTATTCCCTGCTCCAAAAAGAAATAACCTATTCACTGTACCTTATAGTGATATCGCATATTTATTTGAAGACAAAAAATACAATATAGATATTTAAAAAGTTTAAATAAACTATTTCTATTTGTATGAGAACCGCACAAAAATACCTGAAGTCTTTTTAGTTTATCATGAAGATATGAAGTTTTATAATATACTAACTACCCGCCCCGGAATCACACGCGTGTACATGTATTATACATTTTAACCTTCCTCTTGAATCAGTCTATCTATTGCTAAAAACTGCATTAAAATCCGTTGCGTAATTTAAAAGATATTGCGAAAAGATTGAAGCGACTTCATTTTATACTACGTAAAAATAAATAGATATAATTAGACAATAAAAACTCAGAACCTTTCTAAACATATTTTTAAGATGTAACAATTTCAACGTAACAAAATTAATAATAATAATCTTTACTCTTAAATATACAGTACCATTCAATAAATTTAGCCTGGCTTTCGATATAGGTGAACCTGTGCCACGAAAGCCAGTTCACTCCTACATACTTTGAACAGTAGGTTTAATTATCATACTGCATTATATTAAATCTTATTTTTTTTCTATACGATGAATTATTACAAAAACATTTTTAATTTCACAATTCAGAAGTGTTTTTTTTTATTTTACTTACAATTAAAATGTCAATTTATTCAAAGCCCCATACAAATATTGATATATTAATTTTTAATATATAAATTTAAAGGACCATGGTGTTTTTAATATTACTCTCTGCCTTTTAGTGGAGTTTGTATATAAATAAAAATGTATCGATATTAAAATAGATGTAAGCCAAAATATACAGACGAAATATTTAAAATTGTCTCAGCAATTATATATATAATATTCAAATTATACTTGAAAATAATTAATAAATATTTAATTTATTAATATACATATGTGTTCTATGGTAAGATATTTTATATAAAAAATACATATAATACATAAATAACTCTTATATATAGTTGTATAATAAATAGTTTGTTGCAAACTCTTTGTACATTTTTATCTATTTATTTTTATATTAATTTTGAATGTCTTCTTTACAATAATATAAGTATAATGACAATTCTAAAACTGTTAATAAGTAATTTAAAATTGATACAAAAATAAATATATAAAAATGTTCAAAGAGTTTGCAACATACTACTTATTATACGACTAAGTATAAAAGTTGTATAAATATAACCCGTATTTACCAGTAACGAGTATAATTATAATCAAAAACATATTATAGAATAATTTAAATTAATTAGACATTTTATAATAAATATCTTACCATATATGTTCATATAAATTTATCACACTACATTACTACGTAAATTGTATTAATCACTTTTAGATGAGATAAATAATTACACCGTGCACGTTTGTATTTTTTTGTTTGCTATTACAATTTACATAATCGAATAAAAAAAGCACAAATCGAATAATTATTATATATAACCTACTACGTACTTTAGACTGGACATTAATATTTTTTTTACACTAACTCCTACTTCCTGACCATCATATTTATTGCCAGTAAAAGTACGGAAAAGGTGTTTTAGCCCAAAGTTGTTGTAAAGTAGTAAATAAATTTTAAATCTTAGATATAAATGTATTAGACATGTTCAATGTAGTTAATTAATTTATTAATAGATTAATATTAATGAAAACACTAAAGGATGCGTTCAAGATGTTCAGAATTATGGTAAATCGTGTAAATCGTGTCTTAATATTTGAAAATTAAGAAGGATACTAAACAAATAGTTATTTAAAAGGATTTTCAAATATTTCGATGATTGTATAATAAAGTATTTAAATTGGTGTCAATAAATTAAACATAGACATATAACTGTATAACAATAATACCGTAAACTAAAATAAATTAATGTAAAAAATAAATGAAATAAATTAATCGCTTTAAAACCTCGTCTGTGTTTTGTGATACCTGCGTAGTTAGATTTACAATTTTACAAATTATATATATAATATCATTTACTACTTCATAATTAATTAAAATTATTTTGTTTTTGAAATTTTAATTAGTTCTTATATAATTTTTATATTTAATAATATTTTCGACATATAATTCTGAAATATTAATTATTAAATTTTCCGGATATGTATAAATATAATTATACGACGAATCGATAACACCAATTATTATAATTTCAGAAATATCTGTAAATAACTGTATTTTAATTAAATTAAATATATTTAATGTTCGATATATATACATAATTATGTACGATATTTGTTATAATTGTCTATGTTGTGTAATTTAATTAAATAGTTTTAATTAAGTCTTCCACAGTGGAATTGCGATGCTTGTTTCTTTTCTATAGTGAATTTAATGTTTCATTTGAGAATAAATACTCGAAGCAGTTTTTCATAGAAATATTCAGTCATTTTTACTACCTTTACAATTTTTCTCAGAAAAAATTACTACTAACAAATTTATCGTTGTATCCAAAATATCATTAAATCATTATAAATGAGTATAATGAAAAACTGCCTCGATATATATTTATATATGTATAATATGGAGACTTATTTGGCGAGTGTACACTGAAATCATATAGTAGGAAATAAATACAATTTAGATACCTACCTATTGTTTTTTATTTACCTTTTTTTACCTGTAAGAATACATAGTTAACCTGTGTATTACAGCTTCATTAAAACAATGTTAGTCATTACATAGTATAAAACAGAGTCGCTGTCGCTGTCTGTCCGTCCCTATATATGCTTAAATCTTTAAAACTACGCAACGGATTTTGAAGCAGATTTCTTAATAATAAGAAGGTTTATATATACATATAATACATGTACAACCGGGTGAAGCCGGGGCGAGATAGCTAGTAATATTATTATTTATGTATTTTGTCTATTATTTTATATAGAAAAATACATAAATAATAAACAAAGAGGTGCGTCAAAATGTGAACGAAGGACTGTATATATATGGGGCTGGTAGATATAATTATGCAAATACGGGTTTTAAGAAGCAATAATATAATAATATGTACAAAAGTATAATAATTAGCAGAACAAGAATGACAAAGTCATATATATTTTTGTATATAATATAATAGACAAAATACATAAATAATAAACAAAGAGGTGCGTCGTGCACAGTATGAATGGATGGGTCGATGGTTGTTACCTACTCTTCCACGCAAAAACTACTGACCAGTTTTTATGAAACTAAT